TGATCAATAATCCGTTCTGGCTTTACTTCAAAGGTTAGATCATCTTGTACACCTATCTCTTCATGTTCAATTATATGTTCAGGGTCTGGTTGATACTTCTTCAACTGAGAGACATGGAAGACATTATGTAATTTGCTTAATTGCGGAGGCAAAGCTATTTGATACGCCACTGGTCCAACTTTACCAAGAATCTCAAATGGACCGATGTACTTTGGGCTTAGCTTCTTCGTCTTCATTGCTCGTCCGATGCCTGTAATTGGTGAAATTTTGAGGAATACATGATCTCCGACCTCAAATTCTAATGGTCTCCTTCTCTTATCAGCATAGCTTTTTTGTCTGCTTTGAGCAGAAAGCAGTCTTTTTCTAATAATTTTGATCTGCTCTGTGGTTTGATCAACTAATTCCGGACCATACAACCTTCTCTCCCTTAGCTCAGTCCAGCACAATGGAGATCGACACCTCCTTCCATACAGTGCTTCATATGGCGCCATCTGAATACTCGCGTGATAGCTATTATTATATGCAAACTCAGCGAATGGCAAGATATAATCCCAGTTTTTCTTAAAATCCAAAACACAAGCTCTCAACATATCTTCAAGTGTTTGGATAGTTCTTTCTGTTTGACCATCAGTTTGAGGGTGATAAGCTGTGCTAAATTTCAGTTGAGTGCCCATAGCTTCATGAAGAGATCGCCAAAACTTTGAAGTAAATCGTGGATCCCTATCTGATACAATGCTAACTGGTACACCATGGAGTTTGACTATCTCTTTAATATATACATGTGCTAGCCTCTCTAAGGTATAGTTAGCTTTAATTGCAAGAAAATGAGCAGATTTTGTTAAACGATCAACTATCACCCAAATGGTGTCATACCCAGCCGCTGTTCTTGGCAAACCTCCAACAAAGTCCATCGTCACACTTTCCCACTTCCATTCTGGAATCTCTAGTGGTTGTAAAGGTCCTGGAGGTTTCTGATGCTCTATCTTAATCTTTTGGCATGTGAGGCAGCGAGCTACATACTTTGTGACATCACTTTTCATTCCTGGCCACCAATATAATGACTTCAAATTGTGATACATCTTTGTCATGCCCGGATGAAGGGTATATCTACTTTTATGTGCCTCATCGAGAATTCTCCGTCTAAGTTCAGCCTTCAGTGGAATATAAACTCTTCTCTTGTATCTAACCAGCCCACTAGGCGAAAAATCATAATCTTGTGTCTCTCCTTTTTCAATTTTAATCTTGATTGATCTCGCCAAGTCATCTTGTTCCTGAGCTGCTTCTATTTCATCTCTCAAGTCACTTTCCACTTGAGTGGCACCATAACCTGCTAATATCATCTGATTTGACAGATTAAAATCTCTAAATTTCTCCAATAATTCTTGTTCCTCAATCATTAGAGCTGCCACTTGCACTGTTTTTCTACTCAGGGCATCAGCGACAACGTTTGCTTTGCCCGGATGGTATTTGATTTCATAATCATAATCTTTCAATAGTTCCATCCACCTTCTCTGCCTCATGTTCAATTCTTTTTGGTCTTGTAAATACTTGAGGCTCTTATGGTCACAGTATAATTCTATAGTTGCTCCGTAGAGATAATGTCTCCATATCTTGAGAGCAAACACTATTGCTGCTAGCTCTAGATCATGTGTAGGATAATTCTCTTCATGAGGTTTAAGTTGTCGGAGGCATATGCTACCACTCTGCCTTGTTGCATCAAGACACATCCCAAACCATGTTTACTTGCATCACTATAGACTACATAGGTCTGTTTGGGATCAGGAATAATCAGGACTGGAGTGGACGTGAGCCTTTTCTTTAACTCTTGAAAACTAGCCTCACACTTATCATCCCATACAAAGGGTTGATTCTTTCTAGTGAGCTTAGTCAGTGGCAAAGCAACTCTGGAGAAATTCTGGATAAATCTTCTATAGTAACCAGCTAAACCCAGAAAACTTCTTATTTCTGTAACCGTTTCAGGCTTTTTCCATTTCAGCACTGCTTCCACTTTACTAGGATCTACTGCAACCCCATCACATGAGATAACATGGCCTAAGAATTTAACTTCTGTAAGCCAAAATTCACATTTACTGAGCTTAGCATATAACTGCTTCTTCTTAAGAATTTCTAAGACAATTCTCAAATGTTCCTCATGTTCTTTTCTATTCTTGGAGTATATCAAAATGTCATCAATGAACACCACCACAAATTGATCCAAATACTGTCGAAAGATTCGGTTCATGTAATCCATGAATACTGCCGGTGCATTAGTCAGTCCAAATGGCATCACCAAGAACTCGTAATGCCCATACCGAGTTCTAAAAGCAGTTTTTGGTATATCTTCTGCTTTCACCCGTAACTGATGATAACCCGATCTAAGATCAATTTTGGAGAATACACAAGAACCTGCCAACTGGTCAAGTAAGTCATCTATTCGAGGAAGTGGGTACTTATTCTTGATAGTCACCCTATTTAATTCCCTGTAATCAATGCATAATCGGAGGCTTCCATCTTTCTTCTTTACAAATAACACCGGAGCACCCCATGGCGAAACACTGGGTCGTATAAACCCTTTTTCTAGTAACTCCTCTATTTGTTTCTTCAGTTCTACCATTTCATTAGGAGCCATACGGTACGGGGCTTTTGAAATTGGTCCTGCTCCAGGTATTATATCAATTGCAAATTCCACTTCCTTTCAGGGGGTAACCCACTTATGTCATCAGGAAATACTTCAGGAAATTCCCTAACCACTGGTATCTCATCTAAATTTACTGTTGCTTCTGCTTGTAATGAGAAGAAAACCATGTACCCTTGACACCCTTTCTGTAACCACTTTTCTGCTTGAGTTATAGAGATGAAGTTTAACTCAGGCTCTATTTCATTAATCTTTTGGGAATTAGGAAACACAAGCCTTTTATTTCCACAGTCAATCAATGCATTATTAGCTGATAGCCAGTTGAGACCTATAACTATATCCATATTTTGGAATGGCATACAGATAAGGTCTATGACTGTATCATTTTGCTCATACTGAATTAAACAATTTAAACAAACACTAGCAGTAATAACTTTAGCACCCGTGGGCGTTGACACAACCAAGTCATAAGGCAATTTATCAACCTTTAACCCTAGTCGTCTAGCACATTCATAAGCAATAAAAGAATGACTAGCACCAGAGTCAAACAATGCTTGCACTAGATTGCCATTAAGTCGAATTGTACCTTGGATCATATTTGGAGACTTGCGAGCATCCTCATGAGTCATAGCAAAGACTTTACCTTGATTCCTGGGCCTGAACTCCTCCATTTTTTGCCCACATTCTCGAGCAAAGTGACCAGGCTTTCCACATCTATAACAAACATTGGGCCCAAACCAACATGGCCTGTTCCCATGGTTTCTGCCGCAGTAAGGGCATTCTTTCACTTCTGCAACTCTTTGGGATCCTGGCTTCTTTGGTTGATTCATTCTTTTTGCATTTCTCCTATCCCAAGGAGTCGGATTACTTCTCTTCCTTGATGGTCCTTCAGAAGCTTCTGGCTTACTATAGCCTTTGATCACATTTTGAGGTTGCAGGTTACTTTCAGTGATTCTGCATACCTCCACTGCTGTGTCAAAATGAGCAAGCTGCATAGGAGCTAGCTTTTCTCTCAAAATAGGCTTCAATCCACGAATCAATTTCCCAGTACTCCAACGTTCATTATTTCGCTCCTGTAGTTGTGTGGAATACCGGGACAATCGAATGAACTTAGCTAGATAATCATCAAATGATTCATTTTCAGCCTGTGCCAATGTCAGGAACTCAGCTTCTTTGCCATCTCTAATTGACTGAGGGAAATACTTCTCATTAAATTTCTCTTTAAACACTTCCCATGTAAGTGGAACGTTCCTAGCTTGCAAAAGCAGTTCGGTGTTTTTCCACCATCTATCTGCATCACCTTCTAGCTTATATATCGCCATTTGAGCTTTTCTTTCAGTAGAACATTCCATGACCCTGAAAATCTTCTCCAATTTCATTACCCAATCCTCAGCTGCTTGTACATCAAATTTGCCCATAAATGATGGCGGTTGATGCTTACAGAACCTGGAAATCCAATATTGTAGACTTTCTTGCTCTGCAATTGGTCTTTCAGAAGCCACTTCAAGGACCAGCTGTGGGTCTTGTCGTGGTTGTAATTCGGGTTGTTGTTGTAAGCCTCCAATAGGAATATCATTCCTATTTTTTTCTTCTCTTTCTTGGTCCTGTCTAGCCTGATTCTCTCTAATTTCATTTATCATTTGCTGTTGTTCATTAAGTCTGTCCAATATTTGCTGTAGAGGGTCAGGTGGGGGTCTGTTTTCATCAACTCGACCTCCACTTCTGCCTCCTCTGAGTATAACCATCTTTTACTGATCATGAAATAAATCATAATCAATAATAATAGTAACACTAAATTTCCAATTTAAAACCACAGGCAGACAGTTGTAAAATAATGGTAGGAATCAAATTCCTAACACCACAATATATGCACCTTTGTTACAATTAACCATAACAAGATTATGTATCTCAAGCGAGCAGAGCATTTTGACCTCTTGCCAGAACCTCCGCTCTGATACCAAAAATGTAACACCTATCCCTTATATACTAGTAGAATTATTCTATTTAATCATGATCCATTAAAAGCCAGGTTTCATCCTGGGAATTATATATATTTTTATTTCCATCCGGCCCTTCGAATCCTGAATTAAGTCAACTATAGCCAATAGGGTTTAACATTTGACACCCTGGCCATTGGCTCACACGACGAGATACGTAATTAGATACACATAATTTTAGGCCAAATAATAATTATATCAAAAAATTTGACCATTTCCTTCAATAGTAGTCATTATGATCTATCTGCCCTTAGTCATCTCCTTATGGAAGAATATTTACATACCAAAATAGATATACAATATATATCTTTACTCCAAAATAAGATGCATTTTAAACAAAATATATATGTACAAATGATCGCCAGCTTCCTGCACTTTTAAACTCCATCGATCACTACTCCCTTGCCCTTAGGAGTACTTGCTCTTGCTGTATTACATGGAAGAAGGGGTGAGATTCTAAAGAATCCCAGTAGTAACAAATTTCCCTCACGTAATCATACAAGATCACAAACAACATGCTACACAGGCCAAAGAGAACAACACCTTGCATCCAAGTATAATCAATGATGCATATACACCATACACCCATATAGCTAATCGCTATCTATCACGCCCACATTCCAAAATAAATGGAAACCAGCGCATATTGTCATGACAAATATTATTATGCAAAGGCAACTTACATGTTCTCATGCACAATCAGCATAAAGGCACATCCAAGCATGTGGCAATCAATGCACAATCACATTAAAGGAAAAGAGTTACTACCTTTTGCTTTTTCTTCCGTACTAACTTCCCCTTGTTTCTTCCTTGGCTCCCTTCTTAATGGACTTGAACAAATATCAAATCCTATAAATTATATAGGTAAGGGCAAATTAATATTTATATATATATATATAGATCATTTATTACTAGGCTTCAAAAATAAATCAACAACCCAATAAACTTCGAATCAGATTTTGGTTCTCAAATTCAACAATTCCTCCTTTTATTAAAATTCCAGATTTAAAGAACAATCACTTTCCAATCCATGTAGCATTCAAATATTCAAGCTCAATTTGTCCCTTTCCTATCCAGCGGTTTTTAGCCCAAACAAAAATAATAACTCCTTCTTCCATTAGACCATACGGCCTTCAGCCCAAAATATTATGTAGCACTATTTTATACTATCTCTTTCCATTTGCCTTTCAAGAATGGAGGCCACGTATCAACATAAACATTTGGGATGTTGGGTCCGAACATGTCTTCGAGAATATCATTAAATTAGAATCAGCCCAACTCTTTCTCCCAATACTCCGTCTCAAAAGGCTTGGTCCTATATATATATATATATATATATCTACAGCTCATGCGTTTCGTTTTAGCATTCAAATGCTTCTTGACCAGCAAAATCGAACAGCATCCTTCCCTCCTTAAGTCTGAAATTTTTCTTATTCAAAGCACGCACTCTTCGATCCCTCAATAACCAGACAGAGCATATAAAATCAACATATTATAATCATACAACCAGAAAATAATTAATTATATTTAGACTTGTTAATCATCTATTACCCAAACCAGAAGCCATTTCCTTAAATACTCAAACCCCTGTTTCAGAAACTTTAACCAGAGCAATCAACCGTGACAAGCAAGTGCAGAAATCTCAACCACACCTCCATCCTAACCATTAAGCACGTTTCTACAGCTTAACTGTCATGCTGTTCACTTTCTCCCTCAAAAACCAGATTTCATCTTCATCGTCGTCTTGCAACATATGACCAAATAACAGAAAATAAAGATGGAAGAAGATTCAGGAGACTCACCTTCTTTGATTTCCACTTTTAAATGAACCGATTCTCTCCTCTACCAGCCTTTCCCTTTCTTGATTTTTCTCAGACTCTCTCAGCTCTCCCTCTGTTTGCACTTCGAATGGCAGAGGAAAGTAAGAAGGGAGAAGATATTAGGGTAGAATAAGTCGGTGAGGGCGTGTGAAATAACTATTATACCCTTTGGTCTTCATTTTCCCTTCAATTTGATCCTTCTCTATTTTTCCAGGATAATCAGATAATTCCAGAAATCAAACCTGGTTATTTTATATGGATTTTCTTCTTCCATTAGCTTCTTTAGTCCATGAAATAATTTTCCTAAAAATCTCAGCTCAAAAATTATCCTCTAACTATTTTTCCTTGAATTTCCAAGAAAATAGGTCCTAAATTCTTGAAATTAACTTTATAATTATTTAGACCATATTTTAAAGGTCTTAATCTCAACAATTTCTCTAAAAATTTCTCCTTCATCATGCTTTACTCAAATCCATAAAATTTGGGATATTACACCTTCCACTTTGCCCATTGTGACCCCACCAAAAGTCAGCAATCATACTATCAATTTCCCTGCAAGTCTTATTAGGAAATAAAAAAGGTAGGCATTGAATAAACAAGTATTGAATTTACCATCGATTTGATTAGGATCTCTCTACCAACAAAAGTTAACAATTTTTGTTTTCAACCCTGCAATTTCTTTTTAATCTTATCTTTCACAAAATATAGAGAAGCATTTTTAGACCTTCCCCAAATAAGAGGGAGGCCAAGATAACTACCAGGTTCAGTAGTAGCTTTGATACCTAAAACATTCTGAATTTCATTTTTCAACTCAAGACAGGCATTATTAGAGACATAAATGCAAGAATTATTAGAATTAATCTCTTGACTACAAGCAACACTAAATAAGTTTGGAATCTGTTTTAACATAAGGCAATTTGAGCTTTCAGCTTTGATAAAAATTAAAACATCATCTGCAAAAACAAAAAATAATGAGGCAAGATAGGGCCACCTCTAGAAAGTCTCGTTCCCTTTAAGGCACCAGAGTTAATATAATATTGCAGCATCAAATAGAGAACACCAATAACTAAAAAAAAACATAGATAGAGGATCACCTTGTCTCACGCCTCTTTGTGGCTTAATTCTAGCTACTTTTTTGTTTGAGACTACAAGATAAAAAAACAACTGAAGAAATGCAAGACATTATCTAGTTTACCTATTTCTTATAGAAACCCATTCTTATCATGATTTCCCTAAGGAAAGCCCAATTAGCTTTATCATAGGCTTTGCTAAGATCAATTTTAAGAGCTAAGTCACTTCTTACCCCTTTTTTCTTTCTTCTTAAGTATTGGAAAGCCTCATGTGCGACAATAACATTATCTTGAATTTGTCTACCAGCAACAAAGGCTCTTTGTCGCTGAGAAATATACTTAGACATTAAATGCTTCATCTTTTTGGTCATAATCTTTGCAATGATTTTGTAAGAAATGTTACAAAGACGAATAGGAAAAAATTGAGTTACCAATTCAAGCTTATCAACTTTAGGCACTAAAACAATGTGAGTTAGATTAATGGCCTTTAAGTCAATATCTACATTAAAGAATTCTAAAACCATATCACATACCTCATTCTTTACCTCAGACCACATAGCTTGAAACAACCTTCCTAAATAAAACGATAAACTTAACTTTTTCATAGTAACTTTAAGAAATAACTTTTTATAACCAAACCATGCTAAATACGAACTCAAATTATATTACAATCATCTACACTAACTAATTATATAATAATATTATTCGTGACAGAAAAGAGCAGCATGTAATCATATATCCTATCACGGATAAAAGAACTTTTCTTAACTCATTCAAATACAAACTAAAAGAAAGGACCAATCTCATCTAATATGGTTATAAAATAACATATAATATAGCTCATAGATCAAAATATTAAGAATTAAATCTTACTTCATATTTTATAATAAATTCATAAACAAATCACATGCGATCCTAGGCCTCTGGCCAACTACTGACACGCATACCACAACAATACAAATCAAAGGACATAAAATATAATAATGCATGAATCAATTAAACACAGTTTATCCTAAGGTGGCAATATACAGGAAACAACATAACTCATAAATCGAGGAGACACTACAAGTTATTAATGTAGCTTCACTCCTTGAGCCTTGCATGGCATCCCTCCTCTAAACCTTTCACCTGAAAAATGTTGAACAACAGGGATGAGACAATGTCTTAGTAACTAAATCTCCACCTATCACACACACTAGCATGGGCTAGTAAGGTGTCAGGTGGGATATACAAAGTTAATAACAGTCAATAGACATTTATCTAACAGTTAAACTCACAATAACCATATAGGTTAAATATATCTGTCAATCTCATATAGCTGATAATTTCAAAAGAGATAAAATACTTTTATTTATTCAAAAGATATAAATATCAATGAGGATTCCATATTATATGCAGTCCACGAATCCCAAATCCATCCTTATATCCTTCTTATTTACACTAACTGAACCCATAAGCTAAGTTTTTTTCCATTTGATTAGCTACTCTGACAAGCTCACCAGACGAGTGATATGAACTGGCCAAAGATCACAAAGCACTCGGTGGACTGTGGGTCTCCTCTTGAAGAACTAGTGGGGTGTCGTAGTCCCTTGAAGAACTAGTGAGACAATAATAGTGGCCAAACATAAAGCTCTGTATAGAAGCCGATACCATGTGGCATGCATATATCTGTATACTCCAATCATCTCCTCCCCTAACCAAACCAGATGCACAGGGTTCACAATAACACATTTATATGCATAACCAAATGAATTCTAGAATAATATCTCGTAGTCACAATCATTAATTTCTAACAATACAAATATTTCAACCCTTTTTCGAAATAGCATCCCACAAGACAGTTCATACAAAACATAATATATGTATACAAAAATTGGTTATAAAATCACTCACCAACCTTATACCAGAGCATGTAATAGATAGAAATTTAGTTACGTAGGCTCTTAGCTAATAGTCAAGTGCAAACGAGGCCCGTACTCAAAATGCCATACTAGTATTTATATCTACAATTGAAATTAAAACATTACCTCTATAGTATTAGAGTAAACTACTGACAAATTTTTAGTCTTTAGTGCTCCCTCTAATACCTTCAACTATCACTCAAAATTGTAGCTCGAAAGGCTTTTTCTAAGGTTTGTAATAAGAACATATACATGATGATTTATATTCAATTCCTATGTTCCCTTAACTTGCATTATCTTTAATTATTAAATTATATCATTTGAATCACCAAATTCATAACCTAAATAGAGAACCCTTAGTATATAGCTTATGTTCTATCTTCAAAGAATTTAGACAGACAACCTCAATACGAGTTAATTTATTCTTACTGTAGAAGTCTAATATCAATCTAACTGTTGAATTTAATGCCCTACATGTCACAAGTCTACTCTCTAAATTTTGGGTTAATCCAATGGTGGACAAATTTAAAAACGCTAATTTACTATCTAGTATTATATCTACCAAATCTAAAAAAATAAATTAAAAAACATACCTAATAACTTGTAACTCAGAGATCAAATTGACGATCCAACTGTTGAAACTGACGAGTATGAAGTCCAGGACCAACTGACCAAATTGCAACTAGATCCAATGGTTCAGAAACTCATACACAGCACTTTACTAAGACTCTCTTAGTTTTGTACGAAAATTATTTAATTCATCTTTAACTCTCCTCTACTACCACCTATTTATAGGCTCCTAGAGCTCCTTCTTCCCATCATTTAGTTGATGTGGGACTTCTCAACATTACTATTTTATCTATCGACCCCATCATTTAGTCAATGGGAGACTTCTTAATATTGTTATTTTATTCATTTTCTCACATATATATATACACATACATAAGATCAGAATTATTTTAATTGCTTATATATATTCAACCTTTTTTTATTAGATCATAATAAATATCTACTTAAACCTGAGGGATAACAAAATCAGGATGTTACACAGCTTGGTGAAACAAGGCAGTATAGCCATCAGGACCTGGAGCTTTAGTGGCTCCAAGATTGAAGACTGTACTCTCAATTTCCTGCAAACTAACAAGACTAATAAGATCTTTATTTTCAATATCAGAAATCACATTATTGACATAGTGCAGATCTTCCTCAGTGTGACTAGAAGCCTTATTCGAGAATAACTCATTATAGTACTTCTCAAACTCCTTACTAATCTCCCTTGAATCCTCAGTCCATATGCCACCATTTGTCTTTAGCTTAAGAACCTTATTTCTCAACCTCCTTTGAATAACTGTATTGTGAAAAAATCTGGTGTTCTTGTTACCAAAAATTTAAATCCAATTAAGTCTAGATTTTTGCCACCAGTATACTTCCTCCCTATCCCAAGCCATCTCAATAGCCTCAATTATAGATTCAGCCTCCAAAGCCTTTTCTTCATTCCAGATGCCCTCAAAACACTTCTCTAATTTGGCTCTTAATTCTTCTATTAGCTTTTTGTTATTCGGAAACTCCTTTTTGCTACATTCAATAAGATGCCTTCTACAAGTATTCAACTTCCTAACCAAAATCTTAGCTCTAGATAAGGATGGATAATTAATCCCTAACCAACCATTTCATACCACGATTTTAAAATGCTTGTGATCAGTCCAAATGGCATTAAAATGAAACATTCAAGGAATAAAATCCTCATTGTAGCAATAGTCCACAACAATAAGATGATGATCAAAGCCAATAGGTTCTTCATGAAAAACTTGACACTTATCAAAATCTTCCCTAAGATCAAACATTTTATCTGGAGGTTATTGCATGGTGCTCTTACAACTATGGAAGTGCTTTCTAAAAGGAAATATGCTAGGGATAAAATCTGTCCAATTTGTCAATGTGATGCTTAGAGTATAGAACATCTTATTTTATTTTGTCCTTGGGCTAATAGATGCTGGTTTGGGTGCTCCTTGTCTTTAACTATGAATGCCAATCAAAGTGTGTGCATTAGAAAATGGTTTGAGATAATGTTTTTGCACAATAATAGCATTGATGATAAGGGATGAATGCTTATTACTACTTTGAGTTGGGGAATTTGGAAGGCTAGATGTGAGTTTGTCTTCTAAGGGATCCAAGTAGATCCTATAAAAGTGATTTCTTCAACTAATCTTCTAGCAAAATGAAATTTAGGCTGTCAAAACTACTGAGACTAGTCAGATTTAGTGTAGAACTAACAATCATTTTGTAAGGGAATTGTTTTGAAGAGTCCCTATAGCTGGAACGGTCAAGATCAATGTTGATGGAGCTTTTAAGAAGAATCCTATTTGTGCAAGGATTGGGATTGTGTGCAGAGATCATAAAGGCATGGTACTTGGAAGCATTTGCAAGACAGTGAAAGCTTCTTCACCTTTTCATTTAGAATGTTGCCTTCAAGGAAGTAATTCTATTTGGTAATCAATTCTGTTATTCCTTGGTGTATTTAGAGACTGATTGTGAGGAGCTATTTTTAGCTGTCAAAGGCAAGGCTACAAGCATGATTGAATGGTAGTGTGTACAAATCTTCAATGAAATCCCTTGTTTGTTAGATAGTAGGCCTCATGTCAAACCTCTCCTTGTTGCAAGAAAGGGGAATCATGCTGCAGATTATATAGCAGCTTGTGCAAAAAATGGGGTGAACTCCAATGGAGTGCTAATTTTAGCATCACCTCATTTCCAACATATTTTGAGATCTTGCTAGCTTAGGTTACGAGTGTAGTCTTGATCCCGGGATGAGTGCTAGTGAGCGGGTGGGTATTAGGTAATGCACTTTTATACTGTTTTCTTTTTGCTAGCCCTTATGTGCTGGTGATTCCATTAATATTCTCTTGCTCAAAAAAAGAGGAGTAAGTGAACAAAAATAAAGGATTGTATAATTAGTCACTGAATCCACTAGCAAGTTGTTGATTGAGATGGTAAGCGGTCTCACTTCCATAAAGAGGAGAACACAAATTCCAATCTTGGGAAATGCACTTGTTAGGAATGCTTTAACCTTAACAATTCTAGCTTGGTGGATACTAGTTTAAAGTCCAAAGTGACTTAGGCGGATTTAAAAAAAAAAAAAGATTAGTCACTAAATCTAATAAAGATGTTGCCAATAAAACATATTTGTAAACTATATTAGACAATGGCCTCTTGATTTTCTGTGTTCTTCGCGTGCTTTGTATCTCTAACTCAACTCATTCTCACATATCAATATATTATTCGATGCTATGCTTGCAACAACACACAAAGCCTCCAGACAGCCTCAAAAGTCATCAATCCATGGAATGATTTTTTTTATATGAACAGCTTGCAGAAATTTGTGCACGTACAATTTGCATTTCTTAAGCTTAACCTAAATCATACTCGAAGTCTATATAAACATATGCAATTTTGTTTACATTAAACTAATTAATTAACTAAAAATAATTTAAATTTCCAATCTAAATCAAACACTTTCCACAGTTTTTAACTTCACAATCCCAAATATGTTCCCAATTAACTAATTTAGATTAACCAAGTCCTAGCGAACAGATTAACTAATTAAAAATCCTAAACCATAGCTTCAAATGAATGAGAGAGAGAGAGAGAGAGAGAGAGACCATGGTAACAAATAAAGAGAATGAGCATAATTGAGTGGATAATTCAAAAGTTGCCCCTTGTTATCGAGACTATCTACATCGGTATTCACAGCAACTGATATAGTTAATTATCTCATTTAATGTTTAAACAACTTACACAAGTAGAGATTTTACGTCACTTATATTCCGTCCAAGGTCAAAAAAAAATGTCACTTATATTCCATCTGGTCCACAATATATATAAGTCACTCGAGGAGTAATTAATGTTTATTTGTCAATTTTGTCAGCTAAAAATTTACCATTATGACATCGTTTGTCCCCCCCCCCCAAACCATTTAGAGGATAATATGTCATAATTGTTCCCAATGAGTTTTTACAAACCACTCTATTTCTATTTGTAAGCCACTTGTATTCCAAGCCCGCAAACCAATAAATCTATTAAATTGATACTTTTTTTAACATTTGCCCTTATTAAAGAAAGGGTGGTAAAAATATGTTTTATATTTTCTTTCACCTTTTTACTTTATCTGTCTCCAAATTTATTAAGTCCACAGGGGTAAAATTGAAAGAAAAAACTTATTAATTACCCCACAAGTGACTCATATTTAGGAACAAACTTTTTCTCTACAAGTGACTTATAAATAGGAATAGAACATGACGTTATAGGTGGATCATATGTAAATATGTGTCCATTGACAACCCCTCAAAAAGATATGCATATGAGTTCATGATACATTTATTATTTAGTAAAAAGAACCACTTCTTTGACCAAATATCAATGTTGGTTTTTCGTTTTGTGCCTAGGTTTTATGTTTCCATGCTAACGTGTAACACACACACACACACACAACAATTATCCACCTAGACAAAGAACGCAACGTGGCATATAGTATCAAAGTTTGATGAGTCATCTCCATTTGTGTGGTATCAAATTGGCCCGTAAAATGAAGGATGTGTGTGTGTACGCATCCAGCCAATTTATGCGTGATGCACGTTGGTTCAGTCTAATGGATTATATTCCTCCAGATGCGGCTTCCTAAATTTAAATTTAAAGTAAATATTATGGATAAAATACCTTATCTTCACTTAAGGTTTTCGGGTTGTTAAAATTGAACTATCTAAGCGAATCTTTTTAACTTTTAAGTTTTGGCTGAGTGTGATGAGCTGAGTTTTGCAGGTAAGTTGGAGTAGCTACGAGATTTCTAATTGAACTTTATCATAGTAGAAAAATCTCCTGATGTTTTTTAATTCTATGATGGCAATAGAGTTGAGCTATAATAATAAACTTAGAGGGTAATTTTGAGCAAGGAACAAAAAACCGGACCGGAGATTCAGCCGGTCGAGGCAACGGGTCAAGGGTCACTGGTTGGACCAGAGGTCGAACCGGGATTGAATCGGTCATATTAAAATAATATAATTTAATTCATAACATTAAAATAGACCAAAATTTATAAATAATAATCAGTCCAAAAATAATAAAAATAACAGGCTTTTATTATTCCCGTGACTCAACATGAGGCAATAATCATTATTCCTATATATTTTATAGCGTCTCTTCAAAAGTTCCCAGTCAATCAAATTTCAAAATTTGGAACGAAACAATACACACCAAACATTAATATTTCTGTACATACATATACATACATACACAGATATATATATCTGTATGCTCTATTGTTAAATGTTTTGATTCCAAAAAAAAATTTAAAACTCCTCATATCATCCGCACTCCACAGTACCTCGCCATTTGGAAAAGGGGAAAACAAAACTTATGCCAAAAATGCTGCAGGATGCCTTTTTTTTTTTTATGTGGGCAGGATGCATTTCGTGCGAAAAGGATTACATTAGATGTATTTGAAATGCAGCATTTCTCTCCCATCCTAGACGGAGAAGGAGAAGGAAGAACCTCAGGCTGCTTCAATGGTTACCACTTACCAGTACCACCGTGAAGAAGAAATGGGATGGAGAGTCACGAGCTGTTGCTACAACCTGCGACCAGCAAATCTGATCGAAGAATCGAGAACGATAACCTGCTGCTTCGACCAGAACGACATCACGCGAAGAACGGCGACCTCCGACAGCGAAGAAAACGGCTGCTACAATGAGGACTGATTTCGGCTAGGGATTTTCAATCTAGGGAGACGAACGAAAATGGCGAAGCTGAAGGAAATGGTTAGTGAATAGTGATGGACTAATTTCGATTTGAGGATCTGGACTTCTGAAGCTGTGCGTTCTCCATTGCTGCCCTGTTTTTCTCTTTCATTTTCAACCAGACACCGCGTCGTTTCATCAGCCGAAGGACAGAAAAAATAATAAAAAATTAAAACCGGTCAACCCATTGATGCTACCGGTTAACCGGTTCTGACCGGTTGAACCGGTTTTTTACCGGTTTGACTGGGAGCCGGTTTTTTCATCAAACTAGACCGGACCAGCCACCGGTTCACCGGTTTTCCGGTTGAACCGGCCGGTCCGGTCTGGTTTTTTTTTCCCTTGATTTTGAGCCAATTTGAGCCATGCTTTTATATTTAGGCCCAAAACGCATTACTTGAAGACAAATTCAGCTGAAGGCTATTTATTTTATTTAAGTCATTATTTTTTTGTTTGTTTTGAAATTTTGTTTTAATAGGGCCATGAGCCAAAGTTCATTAATTAGTGTGTTAAGGGTCATTTAATCATTAATGGCATGATTAATCTTTTAGTTTAAACAAAAAAAATTGAAAAACAAGACCTTGAAAATTGAAAAATTGTATACAAAGATCTGTTCATAAAAATTGTTATAAAAACCAATACTAATATTGTAACGGCTCCTATCGGTTTTTTCTATTTTTATGGTTTTTTTTTGTGATTTTTCCTAGTTTAAAAGCCTGTAATATTATCACCATATAAATCAAATTGTCTTTCGTGATCTGATTTTGTCTCCCTGTAATCATATTGTCTTTCATGATCTGATTTACCTAATTTTAAAATATTTTTGTTAATCATTAAGACCTATCCATGTATAAATTACATTATTTTAAATAATTGAGACGAAATATATTTCAAATTTAATCATTAAAATTAAATTTATCAACATTCAGTGATTCATATAGTCTATAATACTCGATATAGAAACTTTTAAAACTCATATAAGTCAGCAAACAAAATCAAATCCAAAAAATGTAAATTCAATAAAGATTACCAAATGTTGGATTATAATCAAAGTTGTCAAACTCATACTAGAGTTAGTAACTTGCATTGTAAACTCATAAAAATTATATTTTTAATACATAATTGTCAAAATACATAATTATATACTTAAAATATGGGAAAATTATACATAGGTCTCGAGGAGTAGAATTTATTAATCTAAGGTCCCAAGAAATGTCAAAATTAACAGCATGTCCTGAGAGACCTTAGAGTGTTATATTGTAATTGTAAAATGACATCGCTATCCCTCCTAATCTAAGGTTGGTTTCCAATTCACAGTTTTCTTTGTCAATGTGATTGACAACTTCAGCGGCGAGTATTAACAACCTAACGGAAAGCTGTTGATGACCTAGGCAATATCCAATTCAAAGTTCAAACACACACAATCTCTCTCCTCAGCTTGTGTTCGAATTGATCCCTCTCCCACCGGCACTGTCTCTCATACTTATCGTCTCTCTATTCGCAGTTACTCCCTAACGTCGTCTCTCCCTTCGTAGTCACTACCTATGGTACAATTGCTCCCCTATTGCATCGTCTCTCCCTCTTGCAATCGGTTCGCCATCCGTCTTATCCCCATGTCACAGTGGGCCTCTTAGTGTCACACCTTACTTATATAGTACCTTAGCAGTCATTTAGAACCATTCCAAACCACTTTGGATGGTCTTAAACTTAAAAATTTCAGTTTGAACGTTAATTTTTGGAAAATTACTGTTCACTGTCCAGTTTTCAGATTACAGGTCCAACTTTGAAAAATCATAACTAATTCTAGAAAAATCGTATTGAGGTGTTCCAAAATTCTACGGAAAGATATTTTAATGCTCTTTAAGGGAAAAATATTCAACTGAACTCATCCTCACTGAAAACGTATAGTTTATTGTATTAAAATTACTATTCATTTGGTAAAATCTGGACTTTCCAGATTCTGCGCCTTAACTTCGAAAATTCATATCTCTTCGTATACACATCCAAATGAGGTGATTTACCACTCATTTTGAAGCTTGGGATATGTATTATAAGTGTACCAAATTCCGTAGCTTAACTCATTCATATGATAGGTCAAACTGAAGCTTAAAATTAACTGCTTCAGGACCTACGTTTTATCCCTTAACATCTCTTTACTTTAATTATTTTTATTTCTTTGGCATACCTAACATGGGCTTACTTTTTACCATTCATGCTCATACATTCCTATACACACCATAAGCTTTATAATTAAATACATGGCATTCACAACATAAGTCATAACATAGGAGAATTATACATTGAATAATAATATCAATCATTAGCATCAATAACTCTCCACTTCTTCTCCTTGCTTCTCATGCCATTAGTGCCCACCATTGATTGACCTAAATGGTTGGTTAGGGAGGGGGTGAGATTCGGGGGAATCTCAGTAGCAAACAATACCATATTAATCATGCTAAATGGATGCTCATGCACTACACGCAACTTGTTTATTCTCTTGTTAATTAGTGACATACTAGCATGCTCAAAGCTAACTTCTTGATGCATGGCCATGGAGACATAATCTACTCATCATGAATAGCAATTACAGCAGCTAAAACATGTCACAATAACATTCAATAACATGTACACGGCAACACACAAGCATACAACATCAAGCAATGACAATAGGTAAGTTCACTACCTTGCACCTCAAGCCTTCCTCTTACTTTTCCTTTGACTCCCTTGACTTTCCAACCATGTTAGCTTTTGGTCAACATCATCAAACATCCTCTTGGATGTTCCAAAGGTTCTAAACATAGTCATAATGATCATACAATCTATTAGGACCACTAGATTGCATAAAGTTCAAAGCTAGCTCTCTTGAACCTCAACCCGTTCTTTTAGTCTTAGGGTTTTCTTTCTAGCTTTTCTAACATAAATCTCATCATTTCCCATTCTTATGATCCATTTCTTATCAATTAGGATCACTTTAGATGGCCTTAGATTCAAGAAGATCAAATCTGGAAATTTTGGTTCGCGGGTACTGTTCACGCAGAATCTCCAGAATTTTTGCTTAACTTTCAAAATTCATAATTAAATCTAGAAAAATCCAAATTGAGTGCTTCCAAGTCTCACTGAAATCTAATTAAGTTAAATTTGAAGGAAAAATAGTTTCAGGAACCAATTCTACGCAGAACAGTACCAGAATTGTACGGAACTCGACAATCTCCCAAAAGTTCAACACTGTTTCCAGATTTCAAACCCTAACTTTGAAAAATCACCGTAAATCGTACACATATCCAAATGAAGTGTTCTATCCATGGATTTAAAGCTCACAGAGTGTACTTTAAGCATGAAAAATTTCAGAATCAGATACGTACAGTAACTAATTCGAAATAGGTATCAAATCAGATGCTACAGCCACCACATACCTTGATCTTGAAGCTTGAACTTTGTTCCTTCTTCTTGGCCTTCACCCCTACGTTTTTCTCTCTACATTTTGGCAGAGTTTCCCCTCTTAAACTCATGTTGGCTGAAAATATGAAGGGGAAGAGGCTCTATTTATAGCCAAAAAAGTTGGCTTGAATGGACCAAAATGCCCTTGGTGGCTAATAGAAAGGGTAAGGGCAAATTTGGAAGTTCAAGTGGACTTTTGCATCATCATTACATCATCTTATTACATCATGCTTACCTCAACCTTCTAGAAGATGCCAAGTGTCATGAAAGTGGTGGAGGAGATAGGAGAATAGATCCTAGCCGTTGGATCAAACTTGTTTCATAAGCTTCATCCGAATTTACTTGGCCCATGTTTCTCCGGCTTTCTTTATGGCCTTTCGGAGCTCAAAAAATTGTTCTGTCTGCTTTATAAATTTTCTTTAATTCTAGAGAATATCTATGAATTTTCTTAAGCCATAACACTTCCTTTAAACCTTGTATAAAAATTCATTTACCAAAATGCCCTTTTATCGGCAAAACCGGCTCTTTAATTTATTAAAGCCACTCCACTGGCCTTTTGCTTGCGGGACTAATTTTATAAATTAGTACAACCTTTCAACCATTTAACCTCATTTTTGTATACATTTTTGAGGTCTCTTGCTATTTTAAATAATTACCTCACATGGTATACTTTTTACTGGTAATAACCTCATAAATTCCGTTGAAGCTGCCTCAGGGGTATTTTCATCTTTTCTCTTCATAGAAGAGCCTTAGAATATTATTTCTAATTTTCTAGGATTTTCTTGGAATTCTCTGCGTACTCTTCCATTTTTACCCCTGTTGGTCATAACTTTCTGAATTTACAGTTTAATCCCTTCTTGGACTTAGCTTCATATAATCCTCTCTTTGAGGCTTCTAGCTTAACCTTTGGCCTGTATCTAGTCTCTTTTCTCTTTTTAGGCCTTCGAGACTTTACTGGAGCCTCTAACCTTAATTATACCCGAGCCCCTGAAAACTTTTACTTTGCAGTGTAGTCCCTGAAACTGCTTTAACTTCCTTTTTCATCTTTGGGACTTCTGCTAAAAAGAGGTCTGATAGCCTATCTAATTCAGGCTATTACTGGTACTTCTGGGCCTAAAACTTTGGATGTTACACTTAGCATCTCTCCCTATCCCAAACTGTGCATTGCCGTCTTGTTGTCTCCCTCACCCTAATCGTGCTATGGCATTGTCACTCAATTGGCCTAAAATCTCTCCCCTACCCTAACTATGTCATTGAGTAGAAAGCGTTAGGTCTCCAGTGGCACCCTCATCACAACCTTAACAATGAGTATTAACAACTCAAGGGGAAGCTATTGACAACCTAGGCAGTGTCCACCAACAAATGACTTTATAGGATATCACAACCTTAACATAACACCAAATTATAATCAAATAGTATAATATAACAATGTTAACACTAAAATAGGAAGCTTTTTGAAGGCATTAATAAATTTAACTAAACCCAATAGGATTATAGCAGAATTTTAATGCGAAGATCCATTGACAACCTCAACGGCAAGTATTAACAACCCAAGGAGAAGTTGTTGACAACCTAGGTAGTGTTTGCTAATAACTAACTTTATAGGATAACACAACCTAACTCTATTTGATTTTTATAATAGTATTAAACGTGATTTTTTTTTCTTTTTATTAGGCAGGTATTACACAATTAGATTTAGCTGTGAATGAATAATAATGTCATTTTTGATCATTTGATATATATATATATATATATATATATATATATAGCCTATTAGGTGGAGCAAACTTCTTGAAGGGGGAAAAGTCTTAAATTACAATAACCTTTGATAAGTGTATATTTTTTGACGTTATGAATGAGAATTCAAAACCAACAAGGGATGGTCTAATGGAAGAACAACATGAATAAATAGAATTTACTTATTTTAATTTTGAAGTAATATTGTTTGTTGTCAATTGTTCTGCCTAGGTTATCATTTCAGTGGTCGAAGGTTGTCATTAATAGCTCTATGACTTGTCTTATTATGCAGGATGAAAGACTTATTCAAAGGTTCAAATACAATGTCTATTGCTCCGCTCAATATGTTGGGTGAAGACCAACCATCATTGCCATATGGTTCACAAGTGATGCCAATACTAATTTTTGAAATGAATTCAATAAAATGGAAGGATTTGGTTATTGGATAAGGATAAATTTTTCCCAGTGTGGTGGCCCTACAGCAAACACTATGTAAGTACAGTATTGCTATGAAGTTTTCATACAAACGATTTCAGTGTTAAAGTTGTTATGTTATACTATTTATTTATAATTTGATCTTATATTGAAGTTATATTATCCTATAAAGTCAGTTGTCAACAGACACTGACTAGGTTGTCAACAGCTCCTCTTAGGTTGCTAATACTCACCATTGAGGTTGTCAATATATTTCTGCAATGAAATTCTGCTATAATTCTATTGGGTTTAGTTAAAGTTGTTAATGCCTTGAAACAACTTCCCATTTTAGCTTTGAAGTTGTTATATTATACTATTTGGTTATAATTTGCTCTTATGTGGGTTTATGTTATCTTATAAAGTAAGTTGTCAGCAGATACTACTTAAGTTGTCAATAGTTTCCTATTAGGTTGTTAATACTCGTCGTTGA